CAGGCGGCGCAGGCGCACTAGCCACAACGGCAAAGTTACTGTGTAATGGCGCTCGCCGAATGGCAGCTAGCAATCATATATACTGGTGTTCATCCATGTGCCTGCTGGAACTCCTAACCTCTCATGAACTTTATTGTGCATGTAGTATGAAATGCACCCCCTTTCTCCCCCTTCAAACACTGCCCCATGTGAGATCACTTTGCCAGCAACCCCAACTATTGTCGATGGGTTGTACTTGATGGATATGCCTAAACCCGGGAAATCCATGATTCCAGTCGAGTCTTTCTCTCCCAAAGGCACTAGGACATCAATCCACTCATTCCGCCCTTTGGTGTCACGGTGTACTGGTGTTGACCGGTTGCTAATCACTGACAAGGCGCTGAAAGGGGGAGTCCAATGCTTCAGCGCCGTGTACAATTCTTCCTCATCATCCACAAACCCATTTTCTGTCTCGAGGCGGCGGAGTGCCTCCATTCCCTGCTCATAAAGTTGTGGATGTATGATACTCAGGATGGCGCCAATCAAAGCAGATGACTCTTGCATTTCCAGGCTCCACTGCGCCCCAACGGCGCCACGCTTCATTTGCGCGCTGACTTCAAGCTTGAACTGGGAAGACTGCAGATCGTTCAGACTTTGTTTATGGATCCAAAGAGATTTCACACCTCGTGCCCTTGCTGGAACCATGCTGGCGATAAACTCACAGTCCCGGGCTTGAGTTGTTGACATTGCTCTGCAGGCCTGTAGTGCATTTTATGATTCCTCCAGTTAGTAGTAGCCTTGTCGTCTATCCTCAAAGCTGATTCAAGAATTTTGAGGAACTTCCAGATCTGCAACTGAACAGGGTTTGAGATTGTACACCCAGCGGCCATAGTCACATACCTGGCGTGCTCCTGAAAGGATGTCAGGCAAATACCAAACCAGCCCATTGTTATGCATATCCGTTACCACAAAAGGCGAACTTTTATGGACAATAGGTGAATAGATGGGCGGGTACCTATTCAAGATTTTCTCTTCTGTTTTAGGATTTTGTCCGGTCAGGGCGGCGCCGATGGTATCGCAATACCTCGTGGCATCCCATGTTGTGCGGACTTGAAGAGATCAATCAACCAATTACTATGTGAGCAGGCGTGGCGCACTTGGGTGTTCTAAGCCTCAACCAAAACAACAACTATCCCATCGCAGTCATCCAACAG